AGTTGACCTACTCACCTGGTAAACTATGACTTTTTCAAGGTAGCACAAAAGATTGCCCTCGTTTTCTAAAACCCCATAGTAAATGGTGGACGGTGAGGCTTCCCTTAATAAAGAAGCTCGTGCAAGTAGTCAACGGTGCAGATTTAAATAATTTAACAGTCGTCAACAGCTCATACACGTATTAAAAATTAAGGGCTCAAACCAAAATGATCCAAATGTATAGAAAAATCTTTAATCCTTCGTTCTTGCGCCTCGAAGTAAAGCAAGACAGTACACCTTACAGGGTAAAATCGTGGTGGTCTCATAAAAACTAAATAAATTTTGCACTTCAAGGCAACCTACAGACCGTATGCCTGATAAAATTCCAGGTTCTAGTTGCTCATTGGCTTCAAGAGCGGTGCTTGGTATAACTACTGGGATTTATGGAAATCGAATCGCGCTAAGCGGGACACTGATATGACATTTGTTTATTCCATTTAAAATGAATGACAGTGGATGATGCATAAATGTCGTCAACTGAAGGCAAGTTAGAGAAAGCCTTCACCATCAAAATACGATTGCGAAGGTATCCACCAAGGACCTACAACTCCCAGCTGAAGAACGCATGACAACTGATTACCAGGCACAATCCTTGAATTGCCAGGTGGGTTGTTGATAGCAGTGGGGTACTGCTTGAAAAGAGGATACAGTAAAGAGATCACAAGCCAGTGCATGTGCGGGCTCCAGTCTCGTGTTTAGGGTTGTGTTGAAGTTCCTGCAGGAGAAGGTCACCACCAATGCTGGTGTCGAGTTTGTATTCCATCAAGCACACGTCTTAGAAAGATAGTATTGCGTCGAGATTTCAACCGAGGACAAACTTTGGCCTATTACGAATTTTAAAAGGATATTCGATTACAGTAAATGCGTTCTGCTCTGAACAATAGATTTCGTTATTTGAGTATGTGCAAGAGCAGTGACTCCAAATAAGAGCACGGATCCTCTGCTTTAGGCCTCGTTACAAGACGCCAAAGAGGCAGGTTAATATTGGTAAAGAAGACAGAACCCTTCCAAGGTCTATGTATTGGTTGGAACGGAGCTCATCTTTGTGATCTGTGGCTCGTTAGAAGGCCTGTGACTTATGACGATGTTCACGTAAAGCAAACACGCGCAAAAATTGTGGAATGAGCACACCACTTACTTTATAACCTGTGATCCTTCTACTTCCTCCGGAAGTTCCACCTTTAATATTACTGCGGCATCCTCTCCTAATTCCATCCATTAGTAATTATAGATAGGATTGGTCGTTACTTGTCCTTTCATTAATTCATCAGACTAGCACACTAGATGGCACATCGAGCAGTGCTTCGAAGTAAATCATATGGGATCGCTTTATTCTCATTAGTCATTTGAGTTTATCGTTTTCAAATCATAAACTTACTCCCAATTTTCTTCAATTTATGGCGTTGTCTGAGAAGCTTCAGCTGAGCTTTGCCGTATTTCACCTGGGTGTGTTTATCCGCATTCAGTAGACAGATGATGTGCCTTGCAGCTGGTCAAGATTGCAAAACGCGCATCCAATTTCCATAATTTTTCATCTCATCATTCGTTAAATTAAGTGAATTTTAACCAGCATCGAGTGCAAAAAATGGGAGCCAATCCATTCATGGAATTAATTATCTCTTATGGTAATTTTCAGCTCATGGACACACCCATTTTCTACGAAGGCCTCAAGCACATTAAAACGCACGCTTTTCCAAATTTAGCACAAATTAATACCAAATTATCAAACTTAGATTAATACCGGTTCATGCTTTTTAAGTAATTAAAGGCGTACTATATGCACATACCTATTTAACCGTCATTTCCTATATCCTGAAATAAACATAGGAGTGCAATTGGGTGTTTGATATGTACACCAGGGACTAAAGCGTCTGCCAATCCCTTTTGTAAAGTTGAACAATAGCGGCGTCTTGCATGATTTTGATCAGCACGGCCTCAGGCTTGAACCGCTTTTGAGCGATCCACAAAACTGCGTTTGAAAGCAATTAAGGAAGGTGAAAGTAACCTTTCACGCAAAGGTTTACTGTTATTAATATTGGGCGAAATTTAAGAATTTGGAACAAGTCTATGGGTACGTACTTTGTATAACTTCAGTGATTTTGGCTACACTGGTAGTTTTCATTGGGATTTAGATGCCAAGTGATCGGTTCAAATCAGAATTTAACTCAAGCTGAGATTTTCAGGACAAGTTAGTGGCATTAAATTTTGGTTTTCAGATAAAAACCTGATACCAATGGTTCCACTCCAACACCTAGCGAGTCTATATAAGCGAACATTTTCGGCTGAGCATTTAAAGTAAGTGTGCTTTGGTTATTTGTATAAACTCTGTAAAGTTGCATCAGTGTTAAGGCACTTTGACTCACCTCAGTTAAGATAAATATTGAACAAGGCTCATTTAGACGTCAATGCATAGGACACGATACTCGCGTGTTGGGTTTTCGGAATTATCTTGTGTCAGCTAGAATTATCTTTGCCAAGTTGTGATCGACTGTACAAGTGGCAATCTCCACTAAACATTCAGTAGTAAAAAGCTTTAGGCCAAACAAGTGTGAAGCTCTGGTGTTATATGTATTCAATTTCTACCCAGCTAATCCGGTACGTTTGGCGGCTTGAAAAACCAGCCAGGAAATTTATGGTTTCGTTTGGTTTTTGTCTACGCCCGTTCCTATTACAGTCGTGGGCATGAATAATTTCCAATGCAAATTCAAAATGCTTGTAACTTAGGGCTGCGATGCTGATGATTACGAATTCAGGTGAAATTTGCTGTAGGGAAAAGGCTGGTATTAGTTTTAAAACTCCACACGTAATTTGTAAATCGAGTAACTTTAAACTTATGAATGACGCCTGTATATAAGTCAATTCGTTTCATGGGATGACAATTTAGTAAGTCGTTGCCAGAGGTTTACTGAGGACTCCATAAATGCGCAAGAATCTGTTCAATTGGGCTGATCTGTAGCATGGGTCGATTTTTATAACAAACATGATCCGTAAGCTGCGCTCTGCTATCGACTGATTGTATTGGTGATTAGCAAAAAAGGTAAAATCTCGCATTAAATTGAGGCCGATTTATAAATGTTGATCTGTCGCCCCTCCTAGATTTCTGTATGCGGTAGAAAACTGTAGGAAGTTGTAAAAAGTTGATTATTTAGCATTAAATTGAAAGAAACTTAGTTCACACTCTTCGAGAGTTTGAACCTGTTCAAAATTTCATGCCATACCAGCTGAAAAAAAGAGTTTCTCATATGTCATCATACACTCATCAGTTAAAAAAATTGTCGCACGAACTGGTGCCTTGCTGAAAATTTTGTGTAAACAAACACTCTAGGGATGAAATTTAAAGGAGATGCTTAAACTTTTCTCACGGACTCTTCAAAGAACAGTAGGTCTAAGGTACTGTTTATTTCCAATGAAAAGGAACTGCCGAAGCGCTACTGGCAACTCAAATCTGTGTTGCGTAACAAAGTCTTAACCTCGAGATCCATAACCACAGCTTCGTTTCAGTCACATCGGTGCACTTTTACTCTTAAACTGACAGATGCACTTCACACCCTACATGCAGTGTTGGCTATCGCAGTCATAACTGCTGTTGAAAATTCGAAATCATTAAGAAATATTTTTGTTTAATATTTTTCCGGAACAGTTTAGCTTGCTTTAATTTAAAAAAAATATTACTAATGTTAATACGGCCTAATCCTCTGTTTCCCCAAACAGCAAGTTACAGATTTCAGAACCACACTGATTTTAGAATAAAGCAACCTAGTTTAATGAAAAATGGCTGCAATAAATATGTGCTGTAAATAGGATAATGCTGATGCGGTCTTGTGATAGTTCTTTATGTCATCCTAATTTCAGACATTCAATAATTATCAATTCACTAACATGAATTATCGACACAACGACAGCTAATTTGGAAAATTGATTCTGATACTTTTGATGGCTAAACTACTTATCCTTTACCGATACAAACCTTACTGATTTATAATGGTAAAAAACTGTTCATTCACAAATCGGTTTAAGATTTAATTTGTTTGTTTCAAATAGAATGTAATTATGAACTGGGCTTTATTTATCATGTTACACAGAATCAGATCATCTAAATTAGTTGTTAATTACAGGAATTTCAGTGTTATCACGGAAATGTCTAGAAGCATAAGCTTACACCACGTCGTATGTTTAAAATATTATTTTTAGCTTTTCGAAAAACTGGTCAGCAATAAATTTTATTACCTGTCATTGAAGTTAATCGACTTTCTGTCATTTTAAAAAAACCGCCTAATTTTGGGGAAGTTTTAAAAGTGGGATAATTTTTATAGGGCACAAAATTTTTACATGCATTAAATGTCACTTGTGCCTGTTCTTACTGATACCAGTGTAGATTCTAAACCCTTTTTAAATGGGAATATGGTTGCAGTGAAACGTGTATTTACAATTCCCGATTTTCATCTCTAAGCCCCTACCACAGGTAGCTCTTTAGTCTAAGTACTTTCACATTTTCGTGTACTCCCAATCACCCTAAATAGTACTAGACTTTCAAGTTTAACTCTTTTTCACTTAGGATATGGCAATTTTGAATGATACGTTTTCACTCACTGAACTTTACTTAGAAGTAGAAAAGATCGAGCACACAAAGACTTCTTATGCTTCCTCGGTGAGCAGGCACTCTGAGAATGCCTATATACGTAGCGTCGGTGCAATGCGCCGCCTTGTTATAACATCGTACACTTTTATGCTTTGACGATCCTAATAGGTTCATCATGCGCTTGACCTGGTTCATGTTTAAGCATACTGGCTGTGGCGTGTGTGTGTGTGTGTGCAAGCCGTCCCAACCATTTAGCTCTGAATACAAATCGCTGTTTACGTGCCGTGCCCTCGAGTGATAGGCAGTGACGCGTCGTCGTGGAGGCATATAAAATAAGACCTGTGCATCGGACAAGGTAGCCTTGCTCTCTTCAGCCGGAGCCATGAATGTGACGGAAGCACTCACCACAACCACCGCGACTCCGAAGGGTCTGTCGCTGAATTCGCCCACATTTGGTTACATCGCGATAGTCGTATGTGCGGCGGGTTTTGGAACGAACTATTTACCGGTAAAAAAATTTCACATGGGGGATGGTGAGTTCGTGCACACGCGTCTTCGCTGTGGCTTACCTGATTTATAATTACTACTTTCATTCCATTGTCTACCTCGATATCACCTAACTTTCATACGCGGTGAATGTCGGTGGGGTAACAAGATTAATGTCATAGGCTACGTTTCAGACAAATGTCTATGATTAATCATACACAAGAGACCGTGGATGCTTCATTTAAACAAATTCACTCAAAAGGATGTTTTATCCGGCAAACGAGCTTTTGACCTAAGTTTCTTGACTATAGGTCGGTTGCATTTTGCAACGTTAAATTGAATTTATGCGTTTCTTAAACATGTATTTGTGTCATGAACAAAGTAGTCATGTTTAGCATAAGTTCAATCTAACCCAAATTCAGACGCCAAACCGGAGCTTCTGTGTCCTGCAGGTAGGCGGCGCACTTTTTAAGGGTTACTTTGAGTGTTGTGCAATGGGGCTTGTCATAGTATGCTCAAATATTATCTGACTTAAATCGTGGCAGCCTAGGCAAGATAAAGCTTCAGTAATAGGACAGTGGCCATGAAGGCATTAAGCAGTGGGTCGTAGAGTGGAATGCGACATATTGGCTTGCAAGTTGGCAAATATTTATAAGAGTGCCTAGGGTATTTAAGCAGATCATGTATATGTTATGCTCGAACATTAAAACTGAGTAAGGTTGTCGTGGAAATAACAAGCTAATCATTTCAGATTTGCGGTAAACAGACAGATAACTAGAAGCCTGTGCAAGTGACTGAAATTTCTGTCTTAGGTATGCCTGTCCTGGTCATAGACGAAAATTCAGGAGGTCAACTCTGATTTTTTAGTGTATAATTTGGTCATGTTAGTCATTAGAGGAAAATGGCCAGATTTAATAACCAATATATGACTTAAGTACAGCTAATTTTCCATACTTGCAAGTTTTATGACACGCATCAATAAAGTTTTCGCAATAATTTGTGATTATCACAAACTAATTTCGATATTTGAAATGTTTTTTTATACCAAATTGTGAATGTAATGATTGACAAAAGACGTATGTGATTTCAGGTGTTTTCTTTCAATGGATCATGTGTAATGCAATTTTATTCGTTGGAATAATAGTCAACTGCTCGATTGGCTGCCCAAAGTTCTATCCCCTGGCGATGTTTGGTGGTGCTCTCTGGGCCACTGGTAAGTTCCGTGTGCACTGTTTACGACCAACGAGTTCAACATTGATGCTGTGAAAGGCGCACACAGCACCCTAATCCACGCCTTGCCGAAATCAATCCTCAAAGCCATCGCAGTGTATAGGTTAAAAGGTGTGTTATAGTTATGGACAAATTCGGATGCAACCAAGTACGCCTTATAAACAGTGAATCGCGGTTTTCTTGCCACTTGCACACCGTATAGCCAAGTACTAAAGTGACCAACCCCACTAAACCGAAAGTTCAGTTGGAGGTTGTGAGGCAATTTCAAAAGTAGATTTTAGTTGAATCGCAAAAGTCATTGAAATTACAAAAAATATGCTGTTAGATCATTCCATCGTAATTACTGCACAAAGAGGAAGTTTTGACTAAAGCATGGCTATTTAAAAAGCTTAACTTTTGCCAATGTTTTGGATATCTTGATGCCGATTGTTCCTCAGAGTCAAAATGTGGACAAGGGGTGTTACAATGATTTTTTTGCCTTACCATGTTAACGCGCTATCGCACACTTTAAATTCGCGAGGAACAGTAGCGATTGCCAAGCGGAATCAATTCGCATGAGTCGTGAATTACACCGGAACGTGAAGTGACTAAATTGACCTATTTGGATCCGGCTTTTACACATGTATAACAACTATTCATTAAGTGTCATTGGAGAAGAATTTGTGCAGTGTTGGAGAGCTAAAAGGTGTTGAACTGGAAAGACCACGGTCTTCCAGTAGTCGTTGCGCAGGTCATGTGCGAATGAAGTGTTCTGTTGGTGACCTGGTGTTAAAGTGCTTTTTGCCTGTCCTGACTGAAGTAACCTGAGGTGATTCCACTGGGATCGACGCTGATCTTCACATTTTATCAGTACTAATAAAATACATTTGAATTGAAACGCTTCTTACGGTTTAGTCCATGAAGTCAGCATCAGATTTTAAAAAAAGTAGGTTAACCTGTGTGAAATAAATCAAATCTGGTGCCATATTGCAAAACTACTGCGGAAATGACGTTTTTATTCATGTTTCTAGGAAATGCTCTTAGTGTGACAATTATTGAGGCAATCGGAGTTGGCCTTGGGGTGATCATTTGGTCAATGTCAAATATGCTCTTCGGTTTTGCCACTAGCCGGTATGTTTCCTATGACTTTCAAACTTATCACCTGAACTAAGCTGATTTAATTCTCCTTCATTTTGTCATGTTGGATGCCGGATGCACGGGTGACTTTCGTAAATCAGCGACTTAAAGGATGAGTACAGCCATAAGTATTTCGCGAAATCTTTACTGAGCATGGTTTTAGAATCTCAAATCTCTTCAACACGCGATGGACCATTGTTTGGTGAGCGTCGAGTGGCCAAGGGTTATTATAAGGAATGATAAATTCGAGTGAACTCGCATGAATTTAAACATCGATATTCCTGTTTTGGCGAAAATTTCAGACTTATTTTAAAAATAACATGTCCGAATGTGATTTACGCTAGCTCCTTTACTGGCAAATACCATGGAGGTGTGTCTCCGCGGGTATTTTTTGTGAGACATTAAAAGACCTTGGCAGTAAATATGCTGTGAGCTCATGTTTCATTTTAATTAAAATCTAAAATACCACTTATTTTTTGCTCTGAAAATGGTTGGATCTACTTTCGTTTAATGTTGATAATTTTTATCTTGATCTGAAGCACATTTTCTATATGTTTACTCTTTTACTTTAAAATTAGACCATGTTTGAATACGTGATCAGGTACATTGATCCAAAATAAGGATGCGTCTTGTCTGTGATACCCAAAGCTCGAACCATAGGTTCACTGAGGTTTCCATTAGTCTTGTTTGATAATACTTCATGTCTTGATTCGATGCCGTTGTCTGAAGTCTACCATGCGCATTTAAATTTGCGTCAGCGACGCATTTAAGTCAATTACAAAGTTTTTTGCAGTTTTTTAATATATGCATGATTGAAGTAGGCCTAACCTCGATCTAGTAAACTGCGTCTTCTCTTAAATACCTTTTTTTCTCCTCTTAGGTTTGGATGGTTCGGAATAGCACAGAAAATTCCCAAAAAGCCGATAATGAATTACATTGGAGTTGCGATTGCTCTTGCAAGGTAAGCCCCAGCTGACATTTGAGCCATCAAATTTATTTTTACTTAATTTATAAATTCACACTAGTCCGCCAACTCAGACTAACATCACAAACTTTCTGTTCGATGGATTACATCCCTCGTTTACAGCCAACACTGAATCTTAAAATATCAGTCAACAAGATTCAATTTTGAGGCCTCAAACAATTTTTTATTAAGGGACGGTGTTGTGGTATTGTGACCAAAAAGGTTGCTGGTATGTTCGCAATTGTAACTTACTTCCAGCAGTGGTTAAATTTTGTGGAGTAGTGGCTGGCACATGTAATGCCGGGTTTCAAATTAACCGATGCTATCAGATTGACGAATTTTTTCTACACAGTAATACTTACGCAGGTACGCAAGTGGATTTATTAGGTCCTAAAGCTACAACCGTGTAATATCATTCAAAAAATGTAGATCTGGTCTCTAGTCAACAACACAAATTTGTCCACTTTGTCAGTTTTCGTAGAATAGGGCTTGAACGAAGGGCTATTTAATTATCACATGTGGATCATCACCGTTATCATCTAATTAGTAATAGCTACGATAAACAAGATCTTTTCTTCACTATGTATTTATTAGAATGTCAGTGATTCCGTGTGGAAAGCATGTTGCAAAACTATGAAAAATTTGCTGTACTTGAGCTTTTGTAGTAGCTGTTTCACCAGCTATTTTTCCCGATGTCCTCTGCAGTGTCGCCATCTTCGCTGCCATAAAGCCAAATCAACAATCAAAAAAGAAGGATGCAGCCCCCGGGGAGGAGGAGGAAGAAGAAGAGGTAGTCAGAACGGATCGTAGTCCAGCTAAAGCTCTTCTCACCGACGAGAGAGAACCAGTGGGCAAATGTGGCCGCATGTGCAAGCCCATCTCAAGTTTGCCACCTGTTCAGAGGCGTATTATGTAAGTTACAGAGATTTGCATGTGCTGGTTGAAAGTTTTACCGTCATATGCAGCTTGTGTAACCTCATTCAGGGTAGGGAACCTTGTAGTGAGTCACCATACAATGTTCGCACCTAACAGAACACAAAACGTGTCAATTATAGTTTTTCACATAACGTTTTTTTATTAATTGAAGTGCACAGTCAAACTCATGGCATGGTTTCACGGCAACAATTCAAGTTTTTGTCTCTCAAGTGAGATGAAAAAAAATTTCCTTTGAAGCACATAGGATTTTGGGTTTGGTAACAACTGCAGGTCTACATCATTCGCTCTTCCAACTTTGTTCCAAAAAAATAATCAAAATTGGAAGAAACCAAAGTTGTTCCGATAAATTTATCGTCAACTTATGTCAGTACACGATGTTTAGGAGTAATGCAGGCCCTTACTAATTTGCTTGTATTAAATGAAGAATGCAGTTGCCACCAAAACGGCAGAAAGATACCCGCAACTGAAAAAGTGTTCCACGCACTGATTTTTAGTTTTTATTAAAGAAAATCCAGACAATTTAGGGGCAATAGGAGATTGCTGTCAACGGGATGATAGCATGATCGTTACTGGAGTTTAATCCTTTAAGTATCCATAATTCGCAGTTATTGTGGTTTTTCACATGTACATTTTCCAACAGTTAGGTAATCATCATTTCTTCGGACGTTCAGTACATGCTTTTAATAAAATGCTAGGCAGTACTGTTAATCCTCGTTGACTCTGTAGACCTTGGTTATGACTTCCAACTTAAGAATGTTTATTCTTACCTTAAAATGCCTGCCTTTTACTTGAAGCATCTGAGCGAAATTTAAAAAAAAAATATGTTGCTATACTTACATTAAGTAGTTTCTGCAAAAAGATTTGACTGGAAATTGCTAGACCTTCATTGATAGTTAAATAGATTAAAAAAGTGATGGAGTTTCTGGATCCGGTGAGAGAATATTCGCAATTTAATGCCATGGTCTAAAAAGGTACAGCATGCTTAAGTCTGGTCTCGCAAGTATTCCTCCAAACGTGTCATTCCAAAGCATCCACAACTGAGTACCCCATAAGCCAATATCAAAACAATACAACAAGGGGTAATTTAATCGTCAAATGTATGTCTACCTCAAAAGAACGCGGGAGGAACGTTGGAGTATCGTGAATTTTTGAATAAAATTCATTTGGTGGCTCTTGTGTGCTTACCTCTCCTTACCTTAGCTAGCATAAAGGTTATTGAAAAATAGTATAAGGGCATTCTTTAAAGTTATAATTCTGTCAGCCATTTTGTTCAACTTCAATAATATTATTCCAGTTTTAGAAAACCTTAGTGGCGATAAAAGAGGGACAATTTTAACAAAAGTCAGTCTAAATATATAATGGTCAGTTTCTTGCCATAAAGTCATCATTAACAATGAAAGATATAAGTCTCGAGGGCAGATTTTAAGGAATCCTAATGTCTGCTAATTAAATACTTATTTTCGAAAAGCATATCTTTTAGGAATTACTGTTTAAGTTCATCAGCATAACAATATCACAAGAAAGATGTGTATATAGTTCAACTTGCTGATCATTTAATGTGGTCAAACCATGATTGACAATGTACCTAGTGAGGAATATACTTTTTTACAAACTGCGCTTTCAACCCTAATCGGCATCATCGCTTTCACACATAACTTTAATTTTTTAACCAGCGATAGAGCGCAGTTTAGTAATTTCTATTAACCTGGCAAATAGCCAATAAAATTTTGACTTATTTTAGTGGCATCGTTCTGGCAATTGTGGTCGGTTCGCTCTACGGCAACACTTTTGTTCCAACACAGTACATTCAGACATGGTACGACGGCGCTAGCAAGGAAGGTAAAGCATTAGCTATCTTAGTCCTCCATCACGGCAGAATATTTGTCCTTAACGGCTGATGTTTTTCGGTTCTAATAGGCCTTGACTACGTTTTCGCAAACTTTGTCGGAATATGGCTGACCTCAACAGCAATCTTTTTGTTCTATGCGCTGGGAAAGAAGAACAAGCCGTGGGTTCCCCGGAACAACGCCATTGTCCCTGCCCTCCTCAGCGGGGCTCTGTGGGGCACGGCGCAGTCGGCGTGGTTCGTTGCTAACGCTGCTCTTGGGGAGCCGGTCACGTTTCCCATTATAACCACCTGCCCAGCCTTGATTGCCACCATCTGTGGGATGGTATTCTTCAAAGAAATTACGGTAGGCAATTTGAACTCTGCATGTTTTATGTAACAGTAGCTGCAAGGAATTCTGAAACATAAAGCATGCAAGAAAATTAACTGCAACATGGACACGCACCACGGACTAAAGTAGCCTCGCTTTTATTTCAGGGCAAGCGTAATTACATAATGCTCGGAGTAGCCTTTTGCGTAACTGCAGTCGGAGTGGTTCTCAATGCCTTATCCAACGTGTGAAGTGGACCAAATTCTCCTCCTGACTGCCATAAACCAGCTCAAACACAAATCCCCTACCTTTAAAGCAGACAGCTTTTTCACTTCATTTGTTTATGAATTGTCATTAATGAGTCACACATCAAAATATTTAGGAGTGTTTTGAATAATGCGGTCAAGTAATTGGTTTCTTAGACTGTCCAATTCTTGCTTCATGCAATAAAATCCACTGAATTTTGACTGATGAATGCCAACTTTGTACTCAAGAATTCCATTTATATAGCCGTAAAATTCATGCTTTTATTTGACTAAGCAACTCGATTTTAAAATAAATCAAATGAATCATTTGAAAGTTTTGTCTTTGTGCGTTTTGAAAATTCAGTTATGTATTAAATTAATGTTTCATTAATGGCACAATAATGTAAAATTTGGAAGTAGTGTGTATTTACTGCGAGACCATGGGAGTGGATTTTCTCAAAAAAAGCATTAAAACTCGCAGTTGTTTGGTCTGCAGTCAAATAGATAACTTGGGTATTCAGTTAATAAAGCATATAATAACTCAATGATGGAGTTTGATGCCACCTCTTGCAGGTGGATATCACATATTTAAAGTAGCATATGAAGTTATTATTGTTTTCATCGTGTAAGTATCCCATAGATCAAAACCTCTTAATAATGTGTTGTTTAGAAATGCTCAGTTGACCTAAAAGGCTCAGTAATCTGCACTTTGGACCCTTTTCTTTCCACCATGGTTTTTATTCCAAGAGCAGCATGGAGGCTTAGGATCAGAAGATTTTTGGCAATAACTATCGTTAGAGCATATAATTCATGGACTTCCGCACCATTGGGTATAAATCTACATTCATTATTCGGTTAGGTGACGGGGCAAGAGGAAGTATACAAACACAAGAGAAAAGTAGGACGTATCAGGTATTTATGTTACGTTTAAAAAAGGTTTGGCATCTCTACTGAGGAATTACTTGAAATACATCACATAAACTGTTCATGTTTGCACATGTTGTAAACAACACACACCCTTCTGCCGTCAACTGCATGCTCACTAAAGGTTAGCCAAAGGAACTGCCATTACACGTGCAACTTGGCCCACGAGAATGCTTGAATCTCTCAATACTTGATTAATAAAGCAGAGCTTTTTACTGGCGTAAATGTGGAAGATTTGTCGTAACTACTGAAAATTACGCTTTTATGACTGTTCGCTGAGACTTTAAGCACAAAGCAAAACTAAACGGTAAGTGTTGATTTTGACGAGAAGCCCCTAAATGCTTGGTATATCAGGCTAGCTGGGTTCCCGAACGATTTCAACTCAATGCAGCTGCCATAAGTCGAGTCCAAATCGATAAGACGATTACAAGCGTTTGTCAAACCAACAAGGATACTGGGTTGCAATGATTTGTGAGCAGTGCTAAGTGGACCGTTTCAATGGTGTTATGCATTTGAGTGGGCTATGAGAAAAAAACGTATGGCGACAACGGAAACAAACAAGATATCAGAGGTGCAGCTCGGGGCGACTTGATTCCGGTTAATTCTGCTGCTGTTATAGTGTCCTGATTTGAGGCCTTCAGCGATAAATATCAGTTAAGTTTCGTATATTCTACTGGCATTGTTGCGAGCCCGGAATATTGGCTTAAACCACACCAGGGCCGCTGCGTTGAATCTAGCTCTATTACTGTACCCTGAGTACCCGCAAAGATGAAGAAGACCGGAGAGGACGAGGCACAACCGTTTTCTAGACAGCTCAACCAGGTTGCGTATTTGTTTGTGTGCTGACTGATACAGTTGAGTGACTAGTAAAAATACGGACGTCTGAATGGTCAACTGGATAAAGCGGGTGGTGCTGGTGCATGCAGAGGGGTAGAGTGAGAAAGCAGCTCTGCGTGACTGACGGACACATCGTGAAAAGAGTGACGTGTGTGCGAGGCTGCGACGACCGAGCCATTGGACGTGAATCAACACACTTCACTACAGTAATAACAAACCGAGTGTTTAGGCGTGTCAAGTAAATCTGTCCGTAACTGGAACGAAATGAATAGAACAGTCAATACCTTTTGAATGCATTTATTTTCGGTTGGAGGTAGTAAACAGGTATTGGACGCGTATGAAAACAATTAATGAAAAAAGGGTACATAAATGCTGTTTTTCATTGTAAACCAAAATGAGCCTTTATAAATTCGGGGCATTTTCAAAAAAACCTGTGACATTTTGGGCCGTTGAATTAGATGCCAAAACTGCGAAACTGTTTTTTTACCTTCAGCCATTTACATTGTGAAAAAGAATGCATTCGCGGATAGAAAACAGTTATATTAAAATATCATCTCAGTAACAGGGTTCTAGCATTGAACGAAGGTTCAAAATATATTTGAGCAGGATTGGAGTCATGTTCGCAGAACAGAAGAAGGGGTCGATTCTTCGCCTTCAAAACAAGTTGGTTTATTCAGTAGGGAGTCAGGGTAAACTTTCTCTTTGAACATTGTAGAATCGGTCCAACGTGCTATTTGATGAATTTGATGTACTTGAGGGTGTAATTGTGCCTTAGCTGCTCACCAACAGTGATTAACTGAGCCTGACTTTCTGTTTTCCTTTGGTTTCGAACGTTCAAGTGTGTCTTTAATAAAAAAAAACGGAAAGGCAAGGTCAATATAATTAAATTAAGGCAATATTCTAAAACAGGGAACAAAACGTTTGTGCACTCATCGATAACTTAGTTCCCTACAACCAATGCTGACTTTACTCAAACCAGAGCCAAACCCAAGACCTTTCGTGTCCTGGTGAAATACACGACTCGCCGGTACGCTATCACGCTACAGCGAAATAAAGAAATTCAAGATTTTCCAATTAACACGTGTTGGTCATCCGATCGTCACAATCAGCAAACAAGCCATTTTGAACATCAAATTAGGCTTCTGATCAAACCTATTTGACAAATTAGGAAGGTGAAGGGCTTTTCAAGACTTTTATTAGCATCCGAAATCTCTAGAGTTTTTATGCCATGCCTTATTGTGGCTCTGTGAAATGGCCTCAAATGTATTGTGCATGCTCTGAATTCGTTTTCTTTGAAAGAACTCATAATAATTGCTGAACCAGGTGGAAAATAGGTCTTCTGACTAGACCAAAATCTTCAACGGTAGCTGTTTTTTCATACGAGACACAGCAGTATAAAGTTTCTGTGATTCCTCCGATAATGAGGCATTACGCAGGCAACTAAGAATAGATTAGTGTTCAGTGGCTCCGTAAATTTGTGTTCATGGCCTGTCAGACGTTATTTAAACCGTATCAACAAAAACTGGGGTTTCTAAGTGAAAATGATTGTCTGAAATTAGCTATTGCTTATACAACAAAATATCCCTGTGTTAAACTTTTTGACACGACAATGTTTGACTACCCATCTTGTGGAAATTTGTTGAATCAGTCTGGGGTGTAACACCGTCGCAATTGAAATCTCATGCGTATAATACGCGTATTTTTCGAATCCTTGTTTTCAAGCGCCAAGTCAAATTGTTGCCCTAGAAAATGGTCATCTTACCAGAATACGTTTTCTGTAAACAATAGGTGGACGCCATCCAGGGTCAATGTTTTTAGACACATTACGTCCTGAGGAAAGTCGAGACCTAAGTCACCGTACGATGCAGTTAATTTATGTCTAGGCCATCCAGACACCGGATATTTGTGTCAAAATTTCACCAATAAAAAGCCAGTTATTTTACGAAATAACGCTGCTAAATGTTTGTTTTATTGCTGAATATTCGGTGGCGATGACGAGTTTTCGATAATTGACATCTAACACAGAGAGCCGAAAATTAGTTGAGAGATTCTCTGGTCTCCTTAAATTTCTACTTCTTCGAAAGCTGAAATAACGATTCCATTGAATTTACGCCAATACAAGGAAGGTTGCACGCTCTACTTCAAATTACTCCAATTATGCAACTCTTCGATTTCTCGATTCCGTGACTACCTCATATCGATGTCTAAATTTTGTCATTGTTTTTTGAAAGATTACCTAGGGTCAGATTTGAGGGTCCGCTAATTTGTAAAATAAAATAAGTAGATGGATAAAAAGCTTCAAAAGAATGCACTATAGCGCTTGTTTTACCTAAAATTTAATCGTACATCTAGTTGCGAAATCTTTTAAAAATGCCTTAGACAACTTGACCACTAAGTGCCAAATAAGTTCCATTACTCTTGTAAAAAAATTTAATGCTGTATGCTTTCATGATTAAATAGTGCAAGATTTTGGAAAATTCGTTAAATCCAAAGACTCGAGTAAATGTAAAGAGCAGGTAGGCAGTTAAGGAGATTAAGTAAAACCTATTTTTCCAGGAAATTGTAAAACGCGAACAAAGTTGTTCTAGTGTTTGTGTATTAAGCTAGTATGCTTGCAAGATCTCAAAAACGACTTTATTCGTAGTTGCTGCAACATTTTCATGTACTTACCCGCACATGGTAGCGAATTCGATTATCACCGACCTCAATTGAAGGTTCTGCGTCCTTGGGAACCTTTAACTCCAACGTGCAGCCTGCCTGGCGCTGTGCCTCCGGCATCAGGCTTTTGTCGTCCATGTTGCGGTTCAGTCTGCCATTTGGAGCGGTGTTTGTGTCTTCTGGAGGATAGGAATCGCCTACTTTCGAGATGAATGTCTTATTGAATCGGCTATCAGGGCTTGCTTTTTTCGACCTGTCAAGTAGCTCAATGCCGGGAGCTTTTTTGGCTTGTATCACGTCGTTGTTGTCAGACAATTCAAGCTCGGGTAGATTTGTTGACTTGATCAGTTCGGCGTAGGCATTCCGTAGACACCGCTTATTGTTAGTGAAAATGATGATGCGAACTTTATCGCCTGGCAGAAAGTGCTTCCTTTCAAGCTAAAGTTTTTAAAAAAAGATTATTCACAAGTTGCATCAAATCTTTAAGAATTTAATTTTCAAGTTTGTAGGGAAAATTAGACGTATTTAAATTGACCAAATTTCTAAACAGTACAGCTCTTTTAAAAGACAAAGCAATTTTGCATTGTATTGCCATTGGCGTGGTAATAAGAAAAAATCAAGCAATGATGGCTTGGAACCAATAAAACGATGCATCTATTCCATTAATCGCTTAATCAAAGCTTTGTGTAATGGGTTGGTAGTAGTAATTCGACATTAATATGTTATGGCCAATTAGGTTTCGAGTTTAGTTTCTCTGATGAACGCTATCAATTAGTTCGATATTGATTTCCTATATAAGCCATTCATCGATAGTTACATTTATTTCCGAAGGATTTGATTAACATCATAAACCTACGCTAAATGCCTGGTTTTGTACAGGTAGAAAAACTGTCACAATCTGGACTCAAGTTATCACGCAACACGGGCTACGAGTAGAATGCTTCAAGCCGACTATGCAGGATTAACAGGAACGATGGTTTCTAGCTTTATTTACCAAATTCGATTAATTTTAAATCTACGTTAGGAATGTGGTATTACATAAATAAACCCTAGGTGTAAAATAGGGATCTCAAACTATCTTTAAGGCTCAAAAATAGTTAACGGGTATTATAAGGGCATGGTTTATCTTAGACAAAGTAGAGGCTTCATTTTGGGTATATGTCAACTTAAGTATGCAGTGAAATGAATTACCGCAAAACGCAGGCTTTCTCAAGAAACTGAAACACCTCCTTACTTTATTAGTGTTGCTAACGATGTGCCTAATTGTTATGCGAATTTTGTGCGACTTGTGCAAGATTAGAATGCCGACATACGATAATCAGAGCACTTGAATCCTTGTAACTGAGCTTGACCAGCTGGACGTTGGCAGGCACGTAGGATCCATTGACAACCGGTGGCAACCCGCCGCAGCTGACAATTTCCACGGGAATCTTGTCGCTGTAGATGTTCATCATCGGGCCGCCTTTATCACTCTGCGCGGCGACTTCAACCGCCACGTTTGTCCTGCACAAAATGCGGAACCGCTTTACACAGCTATCATGTGACAGGTGCCAAAATTTTACAGAAAAATAATTTAGATTTTAGAATAGTTAGAGTTGAGCCTAGTCCAACGTTTAGGCTAAGTGCTTATAAACGCCTGTCTTCAGAGGAAAACACGTCAAAAAATCGTTTTGAAAAAAGCAGCAAAATTAATACTCCGCCAGAAGGTGTCTGAATTACCAGGTCCAATGACTTGATAAAAGTCTTAATTAATTTTTTCGCGATTTTAATTTGTTAGGTTACTGTTCAACCATTAGTCAGGGAATGTCAACCTTCGTTATGACTTGATCAGGCCCACTCGAGTAAATGATAGACAGCTCAAATCGGGATGCAGGTAGTTCTTAATAAAATGTGCTTTATTATAATTTTCAAAAAATGTATCCTAATAAATCTTCTAGTTACATCGCGACAATTAAATTAACCATTTGAGCTCGTTTTGGTTTTCATCTTGACCTCTCCTGTGTCACACATCATTTTTTTATTCATAGGATGCCAAATTTAGCTCACAGTCTATTTTAATCTTAATGATCTACTCACGTGTGCGATATGACGGCCTTTCGACGGTTCTCACCCTTTCTCTTGTAAGTTACAGTGGGATTGACTTCGGGGGCTACACGAATCGAGAATGGGATTGCATGGGTTCCTGGGGGGAGGGGTATTGGACCGGCGAAGGGCCACTCTTGGAAATCATCCTCATGAAAATCCTCTGGTAGTTGTAGCATTTCCATGAGATCCGTCCCGTCCCATGTGTCAGTTAGGGCTTGGTACTGATTCGGTTGACGTCTTTGATAACCCCCCGAGCTGGTCACGATGTCTTTTTTAAATGAATTTGTTGGCTAAAATTGACAACGTGCTCAAATATCAACCTAAGTGCGTTAGTCGATACTGAAGATGAAGAATAAAACTAGTAAAAATTGTGAAACTCGCCTAAACAAGCGGAATGTAACATTTGCCATGTTATTCGCTGTAACGCATTGTTTCACTATACTGCCCAGTTCGCACTTCGCAGTAAGCATTTAGATTGTTGTACATATTTACTACATAGCATTTATCGTTTATTCTCTTTATTGTTACAATATTTTTGTTTATGATAATAAAGTTTGACTTGCTTGCAGTCTGGTTCTTCTTTGTTGATCTCTATCAGGCGTGTCTGTCAGTTAGGTTTTGGGTCGTTAATGTTACTTAAAATGAGTGTTTTGACAAATGCCTAAAGTTGAAATCGGCTTTCCTCCATCTTTCGCACTTTCTTTTCTGTTTTTCAATGCTTTAACGACTTTTGTAAGCAGTTTATTTTAGTGCAACTTATTTACTACATTTAAAGTTCTGGGATTGTTTAATTCCGTTTAAGTATTTAGGTTTCGACCATGCAGTGCAAAGCAAAATATGACAATTAAGGTTTACAGTGGCTTACGTATTCTGAAGTGGACCCTTTCCGGCCAGAAATCTCCTTCTTTACCATACTCTGACCAGTTAAAGTGATTTTGTTAATTCTGACTGGTTCTGTAACATCCAAATAGACGATCCCGTGGAGGATGAGACCGGGCACGACGCGTCCATTAAAAATTTTAAAAGTCATCTGTCCGAAACACCTGCTAGCATTTCCCAAATCAGTGGTAGTGGTCTCAAGTTCCGAATTCGGATCCTCCATCAGCTGCTCGCAGGAAAATGGGGATTCTGAAGTAAAGGGCGGGTTAAAAACATTATCCAAAATTCTGCAAAATTGATGCCCGTCAACTAATTTCGCTGAACAGCAAAGCTGAAAAGCCGACAAAATAATGAAACATTTGAACTTAGTGCTCGCAAATGTGGGTTTTGAAAGATTAGAACAACCTCCCTAATTAAAGAAATATCCAAGGGCTTAGCAAGTCAGCCACCACATTAAATTAGCATAAATAAGACATAAGTGTTTTCCAAAAAATAAACTTGTCTTTTTCCTTCTGCTTCACTGTTTAAGATGCGGTAAAGTAATTTTACCAGTGGGAGCCTATTTATACAGTAATGCCTTCTGAACATAATAAGCAATGACACCTGACAATCGAGCTTAGTAATATTTTGTATTCTGGTATTATGATAGCTTTTTGCCGAACCCAGAAGGCAGCAGTACCCACAGAGCTAACTATAAAAAGGGATTTTCGCCGTTTCACAGAGCCCGTTCTAAATCAGCTAAGCTTTACTGGTTACTGGTAACGTGTCATTCGGAAGCTGGCAAGGCGGGTTTTCTCGTTTATGAATCACCACGCCGCTCACTTAAAAAACTCCCACGAAATTAACGCGATGGTTTTACCACAATCTTAGATTACTCAACGCAAATATTTAAACAAGCCAAAGAACTTACGTAATCGTTGCTAAAAAATTAAGATAATTATGAGTTGGTTCTTCATTTGCATATAAGCGCAGTAGAAATAGCAGCTTGGAAAGTTATCCAAAGGGATTTTGTAATAACCTTCAATTTGCTATGTGCACACACAGGCGTTTAAAATCTGCCAAATATCCCGATTATTAGGGTGAAAAAAACGCCCAAAACTCTCCTGGAAATTATGCTTGGAGCAGTCTGAAGAACCCGCAACTAATGGACATAATTTACTGAGTAGACTCAAATAAATTGCCGCTTTTGAACAGAATATCCTCATGTTAACAATGGCACATAATTTGTTAAAGGTAATGATCGATGATAAGTACATGATATCAAGAAGTGGCCCTTGATAACACGCTTATTATTGACTGCTATTATCCAATACACCGTAAGGAGGCTTTGATTTTACCTAGTCCTATTACGAAAGCGTCAAGGTTCTTTTTAACACCCGTGAATTTAACCGCCATGATTGTAAATTCCAAGTAGTTTTCAATGGTTCTGAATTTGCCTTTGACCGTACTGCAGAGTGGCTTTGAGGTGCGACAAGATTTAGGATACGGTTGGATAATAATCCTGGCTAATACAGCCTAAAAGTTACCAAGACCGTTGAAACCGTTATTCGGAGCAAGCATCACGAAATGGTTTGGATTTTCTGTCAGATACAAATTACATTTTAACACTAAAGTAATCAGTAATTTCTAAATACCAGCCAATGTTGTCAAATTAATTTTTGAACAGCGATAATTCAGAAGGTGAAGGCGATTGTAGGGCACAAATGTGTCGAAAAAAATGCAAAGTCTGTTACTAACAAAGTACTGAATAAACTATGGTGTTGAAAAAATGGAGATTGATGCAGAACACGCCCAATGGGTAGAGTTAGCTTAGAACAAAATTATTCCTGGTTAAAATATGGTGGTAAGTGTGAACGGAACTATGTTTTATTCAAGAAGAGTTGATTTAGCGTAAAATTTGAAATTGGAACTTCTACGTATTTAACCACATCTCTAACTAGGGGACCCTAGTTAAAGACCTATTTTGCTGCAATTACGAATGCGGTGTTATTCTAGTATCTATATGTCAAAATAAATGTGCACCAAACTCAATGCTTGTCGAGCATCCTCGTGCAAATTTTAACGTACGTCAGGTCTCGGTCCAGTCTAAAAAGTGGTAAATTGACTTGCTTGTTAAAGCAAGTCTTCTAAATTCGACAAATATAAATATTACAACATTTTTTTTCTTACAAATCCTAAATAGAAATATTGCAGTAGGCGTGTTCAATTTGAAAACACAGTTGGGTTAAGAATACAGATTCAAAGAAAGTTACTTGCGTGAATTAGTTGAATAGCCTTTGACACATTTGTAATAAACGCTACTAATTAAGAGTTCTAGAAGATATGGATATGTAAACAAGGTGCTACTACAAGTACGGTCTTATAAGTAACCGAGTTGAAGAAATAAAGGCTGCCACAAAACAGGGCATAGAAGAAAGGTGTTATTTCAGATCAGAAATCTTTCTTCCGCTTGGAATGCAGTAGCAAATTTGACCGAACTGAGCTCCATTCATGGAGAAGACCACATTTAGTGTTTCGTGAAACATGATTTCACACTTATTTAAATATACATCTGAGCGTGATCCCTTACATATCGGGGCTTCTCACTCTAATTACGAATTCAGTGTAATCCTAGTACCTGTATAATAAAACATATATATCCCGAACCAAATGCTTGTTAGTAATCCTTGTGAATATTTAACTTACATCTGGCTTCGGTCCTGACTAAAATGTAAAAAAAAAACTGATCAGTTAGCTCAAATGACGCTTCGAAGAATGATTACAATCTACTAATTGCCAGATCGTGATCACAAAATCATGTGAATCGAATTCGCACTTGGAAATATGGGGTAGCATGTGTTTTCAAGTGATACATGACAGTAAATGCCAATGTTAAATCCTTGCGCAATCTTATAATGAAACGTGTAAAGTGGTACTTGCAAAAGAAATCATCAAAACAGTAAGCTAAGACTTGAAAAAATGATTGTGCCTTGCTACCCTATATACTTCATTGCATATGAAGACACACGTAATCTGCACAACATGTATGACCGTGTAAAAAATGGCATTATGGTTTCTCATACGTGACTCAAACCATGGCAGAACATGGGGGAATTGCTAAATTGTTTTGGACTACAAATGTCGCTATTTGTTGAAATTTTGAATTGTGGTAAGCATTTTTTCATTGTTTTCGCATACCTTCGATGACCAGTGAGGATAAATGGCTTGGGAAACAGTAAATTCTTTCGGACGTCTAGTTTGCCTTAACCCGGTGTTGACAAACGAGTTTGAACACGTATTTACTACCAACATTCGTCTGTCAAACCAGGTCTAAGTCACACATAGAATTAGTTACAACATACTAGACTTGCAGAAATTGCTCTAAGTTACAATTTTTATCACCTTTATCGTTTTAGGTTGGGGGCAGTGGTGACCTCTATTGCTCTTACTACTCCTCCTTGTAAATCCATCACACAAATTATGTTCTATCAATCAATTTTTCCTCTTCTACCCATTTTACAGGTGCACGTCTTTATGCACCTCATAATCCCCTTTGTTCCGTAGGCCTTTTCATATTTCGACAAACGGGAGATACCATTATTGATATATTTTGTCTGCAGACGTCATTATTGATCATCAGCAATAGGGGTTAAGCGGTTTAGATGACGATTAATGTGCTCAACACACTCTACTGCCAGTTGAAACTAAGGGTCGAACAATCTCGTTAGTTTTACTTAATGACTGAAGTAATTTGAAGGTTATGAAACGCTTAATCCATACAATCATGGTAGTATGACGAGGCTAAATCAGCATTAGCGAAATCATCTAGTTCACAGCTTCGGAACAGATGTCAGAAGCAGTGTGCTCAATAGCTCACCATATTCACCGATGACACACTCATGACTTTGACGCCAACTTATGGTGTTCTGACCCCTTTCACTACCGGAATCGTAGCTGCTGAATTACATATGTGGTTTTTAAGAGAGATCAAACATGTCAAAAAAACATTGAGCATTTTGACCAGAGCTCTTCTACGTTCTAACATTGGATCATTAAAAGTCAAAATTGATCAATTAATACGACATGGCTGATGTAAAAACCCGATAGTAAGATATAATAATTTCAAATATTTATGCAAAATCGTACTTAAGTTAATCAGCCTGTCAATATAACACGTCTTGTTAAAAAAAATTCATCAAACACGATTGGTTGGTGGAAAAGCTAATGCACTTTCGCAGAAACAGACTGAAGGCTTTACATTTTTGACAATGTATTGGCGAACCTCTCATGCATTTAACTCAATCATTCTGTTATCATCTTTTTGCGTTCCTCCACTCTGCCCAACTAGATACATAACAAATAATATTAAACCAAAGTAAATAACTTTGTGTGATATTTCGGTGGTCATGTTCGCCTTTAGCCCTCACAGTCTCACCTGGGTTTCTTCACAATTTACTTGGTCCAAATTGAGAATCGACTTCAAAGTAGATACTCTACGAGGCCACTTTAATCAAGTGCCTTTTTTGTAATCAATAGGCACAGCAAACTCCGCCACCAATGTAAAGGTACTCAATGACACGACGGTAAAACTACTCCAACGAGACCAGTTTGAGACGCCTACTTTGCAGAATCAAACAACTTGATAGGACCCCCTAATATTCTATCCAGCATATAAGTCTAAATCCGTCCGATGTACCTCTGGGAAACGGGTAAGCCGATTTATAGTCTTGAAGGAATCTAGATACTGGAGTCCCCGGGGTGATAATAAGACCCTCAAATCTGTAATGTTTCTTGACAAGTTCCCTGGACATAGATGATGCGACAGTCGGTTTAAGACTAGACCTTGTCTAGGCCTATCACCCAATGTCTGTCGCCTCAAAAGGCGAACCTGAACCATGATTGAAAAATTGATTTTTGAGAATGTCTACTGGATGACACAATGTAATGTAAATGCTTCAAATGACCATTGGGCTGGTTCAGGGTGGTCTCGGTTTCATTTTCCTCTTCATTGACGATATTCCCGTCGCCAACAAAAACACCAACGAAGTCTCAAGTCGTCATTGAGCCAATTGGGTGACAATAAACCCTTTAAAGTGTGTTTTCGATGGGAACAGTGTTGTGCGTTTTGAAAACCACATGTATGCAGACTGCGTAAAATCTCCGACTGAGAAGCCATCAGCGATTCACCAGTACATGGCACCAAAAATACCTGCAGTTTCCGTCGTTTTTTGTCGTATATGCATACTTTTCGTTCCAAAAGCCTTTGCACCTTTGTCTCTGTTGACCAACAAACGTCAAAGGATTCTT